CGCCCCTTGAGGGTTAGGGACCTTAGATTGTACCCCCTTGAGGGTTAGGGACCTTAGATTGTACGCTTTGAGGGTTAGGGACCTTTGTACGCCCCTTGAGGATTAGGACCTTAGATTGTACGCCCCTGAGGGTTAGTGAACTGATGTGAACGTACAAAAAAAAAAATTATATACATATATATATATATATATATATATATATATATATATATATATATATACACACACAATATATACACACACACACACACACATATACATACATACATATATATATATATATATATTTAAGCGCTGTGTAAATTGACAGTGATATATAAGTACCTGTAATAAATAAAGAAGTTTTTGCCTGGAGTTCTGCTTTAAGTTTATTTATGTTACTGGGGGGTTTTTTTAGGCACCAAGCTCTGCTGGGCAGTTCAGGTGCAATGTTTTTTTTCTTTGCAAAATATGTAATTGAGAAGAAATTATAAAAAAAAATTATTAAAAAAAAAAAAAAAAAAAAAACAGGAAAACAATGCCTGTAAAACACAAGCACTAATGAGGCTCAAGGAGAGAAATGTTTGCTCTGGCATTCCCACTCATACCCACCTGTCATGACTGTAATTATGGCTCACCTTCTCCAATTGTATAGTATTGATTCACCAATGTGTTTCAAGAAGAGTCAGATTTTACAGAGGACAAGACAATTCTAAGAAATTGACTGAAGGAGGTTCCATTCTGGCAGTTGCCAATTGATAAAAAAAAAAAGCAAAAAAAAAAGGCAGCAGTGATATTGGGGGTGTACTGACCCCTTATAATCAATGATGGTTATATCTTATATCTAGTATACATATACATATATAATTGCACTCAGCAGTGAAGAAATAATAAACATTCATTGTAATTATTTTCCAAGTCTATTGCTTTCAGGATAAATTATCATTCATTCAGACAGACAGACAGACAGACAGGGGGCTTATAACAAAAAGCTGATTTCCTTGCCTGTGAGTCACATGACAGTCAAAAAAAAGCACAAAAACAAAATGTATTAAGGGTCTAATTGGTTGCAACACACCACGCCAGCCTTCCCCTTTTGTAGCGGTTTTGACACAAGTCCCAGATTCTGTCAAATTGTATTTTCTTGTGTTTGTGATGGTTTATTCGAGAAGGCAAAAATCAAAGCGCCGTAATTCAACGCAGCCAGTCAGCAATCACCTTTCACCACTCTGACAACATTAATATCATCAAGCCTGACTGACTGCTACAGGTTGACAACTCACAGCAGTCCTTTTCAATGTAAAAAAAAACAAAAAAAAAACAACCAAGCTTGAAATAAACCATTCAGGACCGGGCTTATACAAAGATCTGGTAGTTCTGGCTTTGAAGTAGAACTAGAGGCAAAACTTTTTTTTTTCCATTTTGGATAGAGCAAGTGAGATGATAGATTTTTTTTTTTCGCTGTGTCCCCTTGCGGAGATTCCCCTTCACTTCCTGTCCTATAGCCAAACAGGAAGTGAAAGGAAATCCCTGCAAATTGGTCACCAGGAACTAGTGTCCCCATTGGAAGATTTCCCCTCTATTACTTTTCTGGGGACAACCCAAAATTTGGGATTTTCTTTTACTTTCAATGATAATGGTAAACATGACAATTGGAGAGGGTGAATCTCCTTAACCACTTCCCGTCCGGCCCATGTACATAAACGGCCAGACGGGAGCAGTGCAGGAGCGGGTGGCTGTATATAAACGGTCTCTGCATTCACTGCCTGTGCGCGCTCCCTGGGATCTGGTGCCCGCTGTGTCCGGAACACTGATCGCTGTACGGGACCTCTGTGTGAGGTCCCGATCATGTGATCGCTGATTGGCCAATCAATGATCACATGAATAGTAGTAAGCAATATGTCACTTCCTGACATCATTGCTTACTACTAGTGAAATCTGTGAATGATCGCAGAGATCACATGGTACAGGGCTATTCACAACAGCCTTGTACCATGTGACAAGCTGTGACCAATCACAACTCTCACAGTATTTCTCAATGGCTGCAAGAATGCAGCCAGAGAGGAGAAATGATTGATTATACAGCCTTTATGGGTGTAAAAGCAATCAGTGTAAAAAAAAAAAAAAAAATCTCTCCATCACCCCTCACAAGTAGTACAGTGTAGAAAAACGGTAGAACGCACCACATTATGCTCATGATGGGATCCATAGTGACTACAACCAGAAAAGACCGATCATCTCAACACATACTGCTCTCTCTGCTTCTGCTCTCTCCATTTCTCAAAAACGTCTGAAATAGTTAATTTTTTTACTATTTTCAGTGCATTCTGGGCATTTTGGAAGGTCTCCTGTGGTTATCTTTAAAAAACGCTTCTAAACGCAAACGCTCATTAACGTGGTATGCAAACGCGGCTAAACAGACGTTTTTTAACCTACGTTTTCCAGCAGTCAGTTTCCATCCCGTGTACCGTGTCCCGTGTACATGGAGCCTAAATGATTATCATGGCCAATGAAATGAATTAATGCCCAAATGATTGAAGAGCCTAAATGCTATTACATGCGTTTACAACCTTTTTTTCAGCCAAAACGCTGCTGCCAGGAGGAAAGGTTTGTAGGAGAGAAGGCCCAACATCTAGTCTGGTAGAGGCCATCGCTGTGCTTGTTTTTTTTTTTTTTTTTTTCAGGAATTTGGAGAAACAGGTACAGACAATGACAGGAGCGTTCCACACTGTACGGCATGTAATGGAAAACTATGTTTTACCCCCAGTTCACACCTATGTAGCCGTGCGAGACGCATTTTGTGCTGGTATGAGAGCCCATTCATTTGAATGGACTCCCGTGCCCCGGGACACGCAGGGAAAGAAGTCCCTGCACTACTTTGGAAAATGCAGCCGAGGTTCCCAGTACGGTTGCGTTTCCCAGTGCAGGCGGCGTGCCGTTAGAATTAATTAATGGCACCCGCCCGCGGGTCCGCATTTCTCTGTGCGGGTGGTGCGGCTGCATGGATTTTCGTGCGGATCCGCAGCGGCACCACCCGCACAGATGTGAACCGGGGGTTATATTTGTCATGTTCTTTTGCTTTACTCAGTTTGTCTGGGCCTGACACTTCAGCATGGATGTCAGTGGTCAGTAGGAGTCAGCCATGTACTAAATTGTCAATTGCCTGACCTCTCCAGCTCCTGAATGCCTGACAAGATCAAATGTCAGAACCCTGTAGTTCCCAATGTTCCTCTCACCTACATGGCTCTGCCATTTCACACATTGTTCATAGGACCATACAGTGATAATAACGTATGAACCAGGGGCGGACTGACAACTTATGGGGCCCCCGGGCAATAGGGGATCATGGGGCCCCTGTGTCCTTGCCCAAACTCAAAAAAGCCTATAAAAAAGGTACCAGGGGCATCTCATGGGGCCCCCTACTGACCCCGGGGGCCCTCAGGCAGTGCCCCAGTTTCCAAATGGTCAGTCCGCCCCTGCTATGAACGTTTATTAAGATTCTTGCTAAGATACACTGGTGACTAGACTAGGCCTCTTTCATAGGAAACGTCAGTTTATACCAGAAAGTTGTCAAGCGAAGCAGGAGTGCCGAAGTGAGTGCCGGAGCTGCCGTATTGTGACGTGGAATTATTAAATATTTGAAACCGCAAGATAAAATGACAAAGCAGGAAACCATTTGTTATGGTCATCTGCAGGCTGGGGGACCTGGCTCAGTCAGCTCAGCCTTTCCTAAGTTCCTCTATGCGGTAACAGAACGTACTCCAAAGCTGCAAAACATGTTTCACTTCAAAGTGGTTGTAAACCTCAGACATGAAATATGAACAAAGCATATCCCTCTATAGCGTGCACTTTTCTCAATCCAGAGCACTGAGTGTCATTTCTGTCTGCTGCTTCGCTCCTCTGCTATCAGCAAGAATCACTTCTGACACCTTTTCCTGACACCAAGAGAAAAATATGGTGATGGGAGGGAGCTCTAACAGATTGACAGCCTCAGCTCTGTTCCTGTGTGCTGTGTGGAGGAGGGGGGGGGGTAGTGTGTCCCTTCCCTCCAATCAGCAACCAGAACTCTCCTCACTGAGCTCTGCAGAGTATAACTTAAAGTGTTAGTAAACCCACAACAGTACAATCGGTCTGTAGATGTAATAAAACATGCTTGTTATACTCACTGTGGAACCTAAGGGGTTGATCCTCTGTGTAAAAAGGCTGTGTGATCCTGTCTTTTCTGCCCCTCCTCTTGTTGAAATGACCACCTAATACAGACTGAATCTGTAGTCACATGCACATGCTCAGTTTGGTGTGTATTGCTAGAGAGGTTTTTTTTTTTTTTCTTGGGAGAGTGCATGTGATCTGCACAGGATCAATCAGCATTGTCCAGACAGAGGGTCAGGGGTTTCACATCCTCCTAGAGCAGAAAGAAAACTCCTCCTACAGGCTTTAACCAGTGCTCTGCGGAAGTCACAAGACTGCTCTGACTGCTGATGAGAAAAAGTATTTAGCAGTTTATATTTCTAAAATAATTGCATTTTCATGTTCTGTGTACTTTGGGAGACCAGATATAGTGAATGCGGGGTCCCGGGAGACTGGATATAGTGAATGCAGGGTCCGGGGACACCAGATATAGTGAATTCAGGGTCCGGAGAGAGCGGATATAGTGAATGCAGGGTCCGGGGAGAGCGGAGATAATGAATGCAGGGTCCGGGGAGAGCGGAGATAGTGAATGCAGGGTCCGGGGAGAGCGGATATAGTGAATGCAGGGTCCGGGGAGAGCGGATATAGTGAATGCAGGGTCCGGGGAGAGTGGATATAGTGAATGCAGGGTCCAGGGAGAGCAGATATAGTGAATGCAGGGTCCAGGGAGAGCGGATATAGTGAATGCAGGGTCCTGAGAGACCAGATATAGTGAATGCAGGGTCCGGAAAAACCGGATATAGTGAATGCAGAGTCCGGGGAGACCAGATATAGTGAATTCAGAGTCCGGGGAGAGCGGATATAGTGAATGCAGGGTCCGGGGAGACCAAATATAGTGAATGCAGGGTCCGGGGAGACCAAATATAGTGAATGCGGGGTCTGGAGAGACCGGATATAGTGAATGCGGGGTCCGGGGAGACCGGATATAGTGAATGCAGGATCCGGGGAGACCGGATATAGTGAATGCAGGGTCTGGGGAGACCAAATATAGTGAATGCAGGGTCCGGGGAGACCAAATATAGTGAATGCAGGGTCCGGGGAGACCGGATATAGTGAATGCAGGGTCCTGGGAGACCAGATATAGTGAATACAAGGTCCGGGGAGAGCGGATATAGTGAATGCAGGGTCGGGGGTTTAGTAACACTTTAAGCTCTCCACCCCCCATTTTTTTTTTTTACAGCTCTACAAGCTTTATAAATTCTGCACTTCAGACAGATGTAGAGAAGAGAAGACTGCAGATAAACAGTCACTTCACTGGGTATATGTAAGGGTTTACAACCACTTTAATAAAAAGGACCAGACTGCCCGGCCAGCACTATACAGAAGTAACAAAACAAGAGGTTCTCTTTCACGGTAAGTGACATCAAGTCTCGTCAGAGATCAAGTGAAAGTAAAAATTCTATCGCTCACACAGTTTTTGCATTCAATATTAAAGGACAGACTGAATAAATGGGTAACATACTAAACACTTTCAGTCTGGAGGGTACATTTGCTCTTCTAAAAACCATGATCTGATATTTAGTAAATACTTATTATTTAGGGTGTTGTACAAAGTTGACCTAAAAAAAAAAAAAAACACTGAACCCAAATTAAAAAAAAAACAAAAAACTTGGAAGCACTATCATGATCATTCGCTATATTGCCAGTTTTCCCAATAGCCATGGACGTGGTGGCTCAAATTGTGCTATACATAAGAAGGAAACAGTCACTGAATCTCGTTTCCAAATTTCTAGAAATGGTTATTTACAACCGTATACACAAAACGACACTATCTACAGTGACGCTGGATGAGTACTTGCAGACAATATGCCACCGGTTATACCAAAAATACATACCGCAATGTATAGCACCAAGTGTACAGGAACTGGGTTTCGAGCACTGGTCTTAGGCCGAAGTCCCTCGTTCTTTCACCAAAGTACATTCTCACCTGAACCGTCTTGAAATACTGCCTAACCACCATAAATTGTTGGGCGTCTGGCTTTGACTTAACTCCTCACAGAGCTCGTGGGCTCGCAGACAACAAGTAATGCCACAATTATGGCTTCGGAGAGCCTGCAAGGGCTGCAATGAAGGATATATGCTGATAGAAGACCCTCTGGACCCAGCAGAGCACCTTCTCCATGTTGAGTTGTGTTTGACTCACCATTCTCTCATTCTGCTGCCCAACTGATATTGTATCCTGCATTACAAACCTTTGCAAACTCCTTATGTAAAAGACCTGTGGAATAGCCCATGATTTTACAGAGCCATCTATAATGTGCAGCTGACCGTTCCATCATCTACTTGACCCTTACAAACTGTGCAGAGCCGCTCACTGACTAGCCATACTCCACAGTTTGAATACACAGTCTTTCCTGTGCCCTATTACCCAAGGAACAAGTCACACTGTGGTTTCATACTCTGTTAGTTCTTGTGAGGTCCCTAGAGTGCGATACTGGACGCGGGGAGTGGCCGGAGAGGTATATTCAAGAGCCAATATAGTCTTCCGAAGACGCCGGTCGATAAAATGAGCGTCCCAGGCAGGGTACTTTTTACGTGGAAGATCTATACGAATGACAGGTCCTTGAGCCCGTGTAAGTCTTGTCACAGGCGTTGGTGGAATGCTAGATCGCACTTGGAAGACTGGACCACAACTGTCCCTGTCTCCCGGTGCCATGTCCCTTTCTTGTTCTGTAGTCCGTGGCAAAGTACGGGGAAGGCTCTCTGTGGCTTCCGATAAAGGGGCCTGCGGAGCCTCAGGGCCCTCGGTGAAGACGCAGCTGCTGCTGGATGGCCCAAACATCGGACCATTGGGATGGAGGAGACTGTAGTAAAGCAGCATGAAGAAGACGCCAAGCGCAAAGCTGCAGAAGACGGAGCAGACGATGAGGAGTGCGTAGAAGTCACCGAGTGGGGAGTTATTACGGTTGTAATACCACAAAACCGTAAGGACCACATTCTCGGTCAGAACTATGACATAGTACGCAGTCATCCTGCAGCGAGTCCGACCCTCGCGCACATTGAACCAGCAGAAGATATAGATGATACCCAGCACCATGTTGTAGATTATCTCCTCCCAGCGAGACATGCAGAAATCTGTCTCCCCTTGGATGATCCAGAAGGTCATGAGACACCAGTGGGTCACTATGAAAATGCCAAAGTACAGGTGAAACTCAGAAGCAAAGAGGGAGAATGCCAAAGCTCGGGCAGCAATGGTAAAGAGATGCCACAGGATCTGCACCACTGCACCCTTGTAGGACATGGGCATCTTATCATCACGGGAATCCCTCAGGACCTTCTGGTAAGAAGCGATCATCCAGGCAAGAGACAGCAGAGAGGCAGAGGCGGACAGACCTGAGTGAAAGAGCAGAAAAGAAAGTGGTGAAAAGAAAAACAAAGATCATACACGTAAAAGGAAACTGTCTGTAAGTAGGAAAAATAACAGAGCCAAGATCTTAAGACTGTTGACATGTTTTAAAGGACCTTCTTTTATCATTCCAATGGGAAAGAGAAAGAGAGAGGGGGGGGGGGTGAGAAAGAGAGAGAGAAAGTGAGGGAAAGAGAGAGGGGGAGAGAGAGGGGGGGGGACAAAGAGAGGGAGGGGGGGGGAGGGGGGAGAGGGAAAGAAAGAGGGGGGGGAGAGAGGGAGAGGGAAGGAAAGAGAGGGGAGGGGAGAAAGAAGAGAGGGGGCGGAGAGAGAGAGGGGGGGGCGGAGACAGAGAGAGAGGGGTTGGGGGGGGAGAGGGGGGGGGGAAGAGAGAAGGGGGGAAGAGAAAGAGAGAGGGGGGGAAAGAGAAAGAGAGAGTGGGGAAAGAGAAAGAGAGAGAGTGAGGGGGCAAAGAGGGAGGGGGGGGAGCGAGGGGGCAAAGAGAGGGGGAGAGAGGGAGGGGGGAAAGAGAGGGAGGGGGAGAGAGGGAGGGGGAGAGAGGGGAGGGAGAGGAATAGAGAGGGGAGGGGGAGAGAGAGAGGGGGGAGGGGGGGGGGGAAAGAGAGAGAAGGGGGGAAGAGAAAGAGTGAGAGGGGGTGAGGGGGGAGAGGGGGGGGAAGAGAGAGAGAGGGGAGAGGGGGGGAGAGGGGGCAAGAGAGAGAGAGGGAGAGAGGGGGGCTAGAGAGGGGGGAGGGGGGAAGAGAAAAAGAGAGAGAGAGAGAGAAACAGAGAGAGGGGGGGAGAAAGAGAGATGGGGGGAAGAGAAAGAGAGGGGGGGGGAGAGAGTGAGAGAGTGAGAGAGAGAGAGAGAGGGAAGAGTAAAAGAAAGAGCAACAATAAGAAGTGAAGATGACATGTAGAGGAAATATATTCCCTTTTTTTTTCCCAAAAGAGCTACTTCATGGAGCACAGCACAGAAAGCAGGCAGGTTGCATCCAGCACACGCAGACGCAGGGGGTGCACTGTCTACGCAGGACTTCCTGGAAAATGTACCTTGCAGCCATACCTCCCACTGCTGCTGCAGCTACACTCATTACCGCTGGCAGTAAATAATTCATCATCACACAGTAATTTCATGCTATCTCAATGCAATACGAAAGGGCATTCTGAAACATTCCCAGCTGTAGGAGCAAAAACCGGAGTCTCCTGGTTGGAGTTAAAGGAACCCAAAGCTTCCCTCCACCCCAATACGACCAGCTTACTGACTGATTAAGGGAAGTTGTCCTGTCTGACTGGAATCCATTATCACAGTTAAACACGACAAAATAACCTGTATTATTACATTTCTGATCTGGAACAAGTGCATGATGGTACCTAGCATGTTTCACTCAGGATGCTGAACTCCAGGCAAACACATAATACATAGATGAGGGGTTCAAAGGATTTGTACTTCTGACTATACTGTCCAGAGATATATACAGCTCTGTCATAGAGCACAGCCCTGTCATAGAGCACAGCCCTGTCATAGAGCACAGCCCTGTCATAGAGCACAGCCCTGTCATAGAGCACAGCCCTGTCAGCACAGCCCTGTCATAGAGCACAGCCCTGTCATAGAGCACAGCCCTGTCATAGCCCTGTCTGGGAAGATCAGAGACCTGATTTTTTTTTTTCTTCTGCAGTTCATTAACACTCACAGGTCTTGTCCCTCCTCAGTCTGTGACTGGACAGTGAATGGAGAAGCAGGGCACTGATAAGCGTATCTCTCTGTAACTCTGCTCTTTCCTTCAATCAGGATGCTCAATGTACAGTAACAAAACTTACTGAATCCCTTGCGCTGCCTCACCCACCAGTTAGAGCTCTGCTGTACAGCGGCTGCAAGAAGCTGGAATTTATGCAGCTATTACACTTTAAGTGTAATGGCAGTGATCAGCATAGCGGGAGTACGATATTGTGGCGGGCAATCTGGCACTAACAAACTGACTGACTCACTAATACAATGATCTGTGCGAATACTCACTATTGCTGTAGTAATGACACCGGCTAAGAAGGGGATAACATCAAGGGGCAATCAAAGAGTTAACTGTGTGCCTAACAACGTGTAACGTGTGTAATTTGTGCTGCTTTTACTTTACTGTCTATTTCAATAAACAGCCAGATTGCTGTTCACAAAACAGTGTTTTTGTAAACCCATCAAGCCTGGATTTAGAGGGGTGCAGGGTTGGGCTGTACCGATGGGGACACCTGATGTAAGGGGGAACTCCGATGGGGACACCTGATGTAAGGGGGAACTCCGATGGGGACACCTGATGTAAGGGGGAACTCCGATGGGGACACCTGATGTAAGGGGGAACTCCGATGGGGGGACACCTGATGTAAGGGGGAACTCCGATGGGGACACCTGATGTAAGGGGGAACTCCGATGGGACACCTGATGTAAGGGGGAACTCCGATGGGGACACCTGATGTAAGGGGGAACTCCGATGGGGACACCTGATGTAAGGGGGAACTCCGATGGGGACACCTGATGTAAGGGGGAACTCCGATGGGGACACCTGATGTAAGGGGGAACTCCGATGGGGACACCTGATGTAAGGGGGAACTCCGATGGGGACACCTGATGTAAGGGGGAACTCCGATGGGGAAACCTGATGTAAGGGGGAACTCCGATGGGGACACCTGATGTAAGGGGGAACTCCGATGGGGAAACCTGATGTAAGGGGGAACTCCGATGGGGAAACCTGATGTAAGGGGGAACTCCGATGGGGAAACCTGATGTAAGGGGGAACTCTGATGGGGAAACCTGATGTAAGGGGGAACTCTGATGGGGAAACCTGATGTAAGGGGGAACTCTGGGGGGAAACCTGATGTAAGGGGGAACTCTGATGGGGACACCCTGATGGGACATCTGATGTAAGGGGGAACTCGGATGTGGATACCTAATGTAAAGGGGCATTCTGATGAGGACCCCTGATGTAAGGGAGGACTCTGATAGGGACATTGATACAAGGAAGCACAGGTTCTATTTAATCAACTTAATCTAATGCCAACCCAATACATACTACTGTTGCCTGTTCACTCCTGCACCTCCTCAGTCATTGTTTCCAGGTGGTGATTTGTGCTACAGCAGCAGGTTGACTGACTTTTTATACTGCACCTCCAAATCAGAGCGGCTAGATCCAGCCCTGCCACCCATTAAAACGATGGGCCAATACAGAGATGCGGGATGGTGGGCCAGTTCTTACATATCAGGAAATGTTGGACTTTGCATATTATTGTGCCTAGGGGCTAATGCGTTCATATGAAAGGAAGTTCAAGCACCTTTTGACAAATTGTTTCCGTTTACAGTTTTTAATGTTAATATTGGCATAGGGCAATGTTCTCAGCTTCCCCGATAGTCCTTTCATGTGATGGATAGAAGAATTAGAAATCTCAGAATGTGTTTGTGGGACAAGACCAAGCTGAACTCTTATGGAAAGAGTTGCTAACTGCCTCGGACTCTTCACTTTTCTAGATTTCTAAAACTACTGATAACTAGAATGTGCAGTTTAAATGAAAGGCAACCTCAGCTTTTTTTCTTCTCCCCATCATATGAACTTCCCGGTTTTACGACAGGCTCACATTAAAGCTGGAAATCAAAGCATTAGAGCCGTGACTCGTGCAAGAATGAGACTTGTCCAAGCATGACCTATTTTCCGACTGTTTACCATACGAAGTGAAAATTATTAGAGGGACTTACCCTGCAGGGGCTCAACGTGGCCTTGCTGCACCATGATGCAGAGCTGCAGCACCAGCTGGGGGGCGCTCTTCAGGAAGGTCTCCAGGAGTCGCAGCATGCTGATGTCAGCACTCTCAAACATCATGCGCCAGTAGAAGTGTCGGCTCTGCTGCTCGGATTGCCATCGGCTCTGCAGACCAAGGTAGAGTGCCCTCAGGTATCTGAGTGGAGAAAAGGAAACAAGGTGAACTGTGTATTATATATGAGGTCTACTAAGGTCATTGGTACCCATAGGCAAGGACCTAGGCTAAAGCCATTGTGCATGTGCGTTGGGAAAATCAGATTTAAGTGCGTAAAACCAAAATAATTTTTTAATTTGGATGAAGTAGAAAGGGTTACAAGTTACAAGGGGAGGACTGACCATTCGAGCACTCGGGCACTGCCCGAGGGCCCGGGGTCAGTAGGGGGCCCCATGAGATGCCCCTGGTAAAACCAAAATAATTTTTTTTAATTTAGATGAAGTAGCAAGGGTTACAAGTTACAACCAGGGGCAGACTGACCATTCGAGCACTCGGGCCTGCCCGAGGGCCCGGGGTCAGTAGGGGGCCCCATGAGATGCCCCTGGTAAAACCAAAATAATTTTTTAAATTGGGATGAAGTAGGAAGGGTTACAAGTTTACAACCAGGGGCAGACTGACCATTCCAGCACTCGGCACTGCCCGAGGGCCCGGGGTCAGTAGGGGGCCCCATGAGATGCCCCTGGTAAAACCAAAATAATTTTTTAAATTGGGATGAAGTAGGAAGGGTTACAATTTACAACCAGGGGCAGACTGACCATTCGAGCACTCGGGCACTGCCCGAGGGCCCGGGGTCAGTAGGGGGCCCCATGAGATGCCCCTGGTAAAACCAAAATAATTTTTTAAATTTGGATGAAGTAGGAAGGGTTACAAGTTACAACCAGGGGCAGACTGACCATTCCAGCACTCGGGCACTGCCCGAGGGCCCGGGGTCAGTAGGGGGCCCTATGAGATGCCCCTGGTACCTTTCATATGCTTTTTTGGATGTGGCTTGAGTTTGGGAAAGGACACAGGGGCCCCATGATCCCCTATTGCCCGGGAGCCCCATAAATTTCAGTCCGCCCCTGGTTACAACCCAGCCAGGTTTTTCCTGCTGCTGTTCCACTCATCCTTTCCCCATGACATCTGGATCAACTGAAATAACACGCACCGACACCTAATTGCTGCTAACACAGTTTTGTGTGCTGCTTTTTCGTTTCTTGGAAATTTTTGGGAAATTTAAATTATTTGAGGGTGTCACTGGAACAAGAGACGAGGGGAAATCTTTCGATGGTGACACCTGTTCCAAGTTTTTTCGAGCTTTCCTGCTGTAAGTCCAAGAAAACTGACAGAGGTTCTAACCATTTCCTACTCTATCCAAAACTTCAACAATTGTCTTGGCTTTAAGGTATAGCTGGTAATAGTTATTCACATTCAGTGGGACGTGTTCTATGAAGTCCATTCAACGTGACAATTACTAGATACACCACGACCTGGATAATGGAGAACCTTCACAGATGTTTTAGGTATATTTTATCATAGAAGTGAAGGGAATTAAGTTTTTGACAGTATTTTCTCTGCTCTTGGTTTCATTGACTGGTTTTGTCTAAAGCTTCTCTTCAATTACTCAACAATTTTCCTTATCAGTCTCACCTCCGATTTGCTGCAGATTCAAATTTAAAGACTAGCCTGCTCCGTTCCATGTGTCTGACCCTGCTTCTTCCAATGACAGCCACTGTTATGGATCTGCGTCTTCTAATGACCTCACATCAATCCAGTCATTTTAGCACTGACAACCCCAGTTCAGACACAATCCATTCATTAAATGTCCAAACCATTCAGCGACCCCTCAGCAACATCTACAGTCTTCTACTATGCCCACTACTTGAAGCCCCCTCATTCCAATTAATTTCTCCCCCGGTTTAGGAAGTATCCCCCCAGGAATCTTAGGAGCAAAGTCTAAAATTACTGTATCTGCAGCCACATTTAAATCAGTGTACCCTCAGGCTTAATTGATGCCCCAGTTAAAGGCCTGCAGTTTGGGAAATGTCCCTCGAGTCCCTTTAGGAACAAGCGCCATCATCACTGTACCTTCAGCCCCTTTTATTCAATGTACCCTCAGACTTGGTTGATGTCCCTTCATTCCATGAATGTCCCTCCAGTCTCTGTCATTGTGTCTTGAGACCCCATTCATCAGTCCCCTTTGCAGTAAAGCCTTTATCTGTCACTGTACCTTCAGACCCTCCAGTATCCATGTACCTTTCCATTAATCAGACCCTCCAGTATCCATGTACCTTTCCATTAATCAGACCCTCCAGTATCCATGTACCTTTCCATTAATCAGACCCTCCAGCCTCCCATGTCTCATATCTTCAGACCCTAGAAGTTAGCATCTCCATCCTGTATCTGTCATTGTATCTCCACACCCTAATAGTCAGTCCCTCCAGCGTTCATCTGTCATCGGACCCTGTCATTCAGTCCCTACAGCCTCCATGTGTCATTGTATCTTCATCCCCCTATCAGTCAGTCCCTCCATCCTCCATGTATCTTCAGACCCCATCCATCAGTCCCTCCAGTGGGGTATTATTCCTGGCACTGATATTAATAATGGTGCATCATACCTTCCATTAATGTTATGGGGTATTTCTTACTCCCATAGACGGAAGGGCATTTTCTACTTCTTCCAGTCTGCCCCCCCCCCCCCAAAGCCTGAAGGACCATGAAATGGCCCTTTGCATAGAAAGTTTGGAGACCCCTGCCCTACATCCTCCGTGTGTCCACAGACCATGTCAGAAAGTCCCTCCAGCCTCCATGTGTCTTCAGGCCCAGGGGCGGACTGACCATTCGAGCACTGCACTGCCCGAGGGCCCGGGGTCAGTAGGGGGCCCTATGAGAGGCCACTGGTACCTTTTATAGGCTTTTTTGAGTGTGCTTTGAGAGTGGGCAAGGAAACAGGGGCCCCATGATCCCCTATTGCCCGGGGACCCCATGAGTTGTCAGTCCGCCCCTGTTGAGGAAACCATTAGTCAGTACCCCCATCCTCCATGTGACGTGTCCTCAGACACTAATAATCAGTCCCTCCATCCTCCATGTGTCCTCAGACCCCATCAATCAGTCCCCCACCATCCATGTGTCCTCAGTCCCCCCCATCCTTCATGTGTCCTCAGAGCCTAGTAATCAGTCCCTCCAGCCTCCATGTGTCATTGTGTCTTCAGTCCCTCTATCCTCCATGTGTCCTCAGACCCCATCAATCAGTCCCCCACCATCCATGTGTCCTCAGTCCCCCCCATCCTTCATGTGTCCTCAAACCCTAGTAATCAGTCCCTCCAGCCTCCATGTGTTATTGTGTCTTCAGTCCCTCCATCCTACATGTGTCCTCAGACCCTAGTAATTTGTCCCTCCAGCCTCCATGTGTCATTGTGTCTTCAGTCCCTCCATCCTCCATGTGTCCTCAGACCCTAGTAATCAGTCCTTCCAGCCTCCATGTGTCATTGTTTCAGTCCCCCCATCCTCCATGTGTCATTGTGTCCTCAGTCCCCCCATCCTCCAGGTGTCCTCAGACCCCACAGCCTCCATGTGCCTTCAGATGCCCCCAATGCCCCCCATCCTCTCACCTCCAGACCTGTCCGAGCTGCAGCAGGTGGACGGAGCCCTGCAGGATCCAGGCACAGAGGCGGCAGCAGAGGCGGTTGCCGGCGGGAGGAGAAGGGCTGCGGTCGGTGACCACCCAGCTGAAGCTGAGGCTCTGGGTGAGCAGGGAGGGCAGCAGCACCAGCAGGACGGTGGGCCAGAAGCAACTGAGCCGGTGCTGCTGCAGGTAATCCACCGCCAGCCACAGGTCCGACGCCCCGTCCGAGAAGAAGACCAGCAGAGCCACCACCACCCACAGCCCGTCCCGGAGAGAGTACCGGGGGTACCGGGGAGCCACAAGACCACCGTCCGACTCCGCCGCCATCATGGGAGGAGCCCACTTCCGGGGCCACACCCGGCTCCGCTGACATCCACGGGGGACTCTTACCGGATCATCACCCCTACCGAATTCCCTGCAATAGGAGGGGTCTGTACGCCGAGGAGGGGCGATCACCCGCACAGCAGGCAGGGGAGGACCAGCCCCGGTAATTGGGGGCGATCCGGCGAGGGAGCCGACTTCATCCCTGGGATGGGGATCAATAAATCCCCATCATCAGCACCACAGGGAACCGATCTCCGAAACCATGGACTCCGAGCCGATAGACAGCAATCCACAGGAGGGGGCTGTGTGCTCATTCCCGCCTTCCACAGACACCGAATCCTACCAGGAGCACTCCCCCCTCCTGTCTATGACCCCCTTCTCTTCAACGTCACCCCCCCTTCCTCCTCCCACCCTCCCCTACCAAATCTCACTTCCGTACCCCCCATACCTCTTCCTCCACACCCCCTCCCCTACCAAATCTCACTTCCAAACCCCCCCCCATACCTCTTCCTCCACACCCCCTCCCCTACCTAATCTCGCTTCCATACCCCCCATACCTCTTCCTCCACACCCCCTCCCCTACCAAATCTCAACTCCATACCCCCCTTCCCAAACCTCTTCCTCCACACCCCCCTCCCCTACCAAATCTCACTTCCATACCCCCCCCATACCTCACCCCCCTACCAAATCTCACTTCCATACCCCCCCCCCATACCTCTTCCTCCACACCCCCTCCACTACCAAATCTCACTTCCATACCCCCCATACCTCTTCCTCCCACACCCCCTCCCCTACCAAATCTCACTTCCATACCCCCCCCATACCTCTTCCTCCACACCCCCTCCCATACCAAATCTCACTTCCATACCCCCCCATACCTCTTCCCCCACACCCCCCAAATCTCACCCACCAAATCTCACCTACCAAATCTCACTTCCATACCCCCCCATACCTCTTCCTCCACACCCCCTCCCCTACCAAATCTCACTTCCATACCCCCCCATACCTCTTCCTCCACACCCCCTCCCCTACCAAATCTCACTTCCATACCCCCCCCCCCATACCCCCCCATCTCTCCTCCACACCCCCTCCACTACCAAATCTCACTTCCATACCCCCCATACCTCTTCCTCCACACCCCCTCCCCTACCAAATCTCACTTCCATACCCCCCCATACCTCTTCCTCCACACCCCCTCCCCTACCAAATCTCACTTCCCACTTCCACCCTCTTCCTCCACACCCCCTCCCCTACCAAATCTCACTTCCATACCCCCCCATACCTCTTCCTCCACACCCCCTCTCCCTACCAAATCTCACTTCCATACCCCCCCATACCTCTTCCTCCACACCCCCCCCTCCCCTACCAAATCTCACTTCCATACCTCTTCCTCCACACCCCCTCCCCTACCAAATCTCACTTCCCCCCCCCATACCTCTTCCTCCACACCCCCTCCCCTACCAAATCTCACTTCCATACCCCCCCTCTTCCCCCCCCTCCCCTTCCAAATCTCACACCTCTTCCTCCACACCCCCTCCCCTACCAAATCTCACCTATCCCCCCACCCCATACCTCTTCCTCCACACCCCCCCCCCTACCAAATCTCATTTCCATACCCCGCATACCTCATCCTCCACACCCCCTCCCCCCTACCAAATCTCACTTCCATACCCCCCCCCCCCATACCTCTCCTCCACACCCCCCCCCTACCAAATCTCACTTCCATACCCCCCATACCTCTTCCTCCGCACACCCCACTCCCCTACCAAATCTCATTCCATATCCCCCATACCTCTTCCTCCACTCCCCCTCCCCTTCCAAATCTCTTTCCATATCTCCCCCCTACCCATACCTCCTCCTCCCCCCCCCCTACCAAATCTCATTCCATACTTCTTCCTCCGCACACCCTCCCCTACCAAATCTCATTCCATACCCCCCCCCTTTCCCATACCTCCTCCTCCACACCCCCCCACCCCTACCAAATCTCATTCCCTACCTCTTCCTCCACACCCCCTCCCCTACCAAATCTCAATCCAAACCCCCCCCCCCCCTTCCATACCTCTTCCTCCACGAAAAGAGGGGCCCCCCCCCCTAAGGGAATCTCAGAGAGGGGAAGAAAGATTATTAGAAAAGATGGGGGCCAAGGAAAAAGAGGGGAAGAGAGAGCGTATTAGACAAGAGGGGGCCTGAGAGGGGAAGAGAGTATTAGAAAAGAGGGGGCCTAGGGAGAAAAGAGAGTATTAGAAAAGAGGGGGCCTAGGGAGAAAAGAGAGTATTAGAAAAGAGGGGCCTAGGGAGAAGAGAGAGTATTAGAAAAGAGGAGGCCTGGGGCAGAAGACAGGGGAAGAGAGTATTAGAAAAGAGGGGGCCTGATGGGGAAGAGAGTATAAGAATAGAGGAGATCTAGGGAAGAAGAAGAATGGGGACAAGAAAGTATAATAAAAATAGGTTTGAGAGAGAAGAATGGGGAATTCAGAGTATTAGATAGAGGGGTTTGGGGGAGAAGAGTTAGGAAGACAGAGTATTAGATAGGAGGGGTTTGGGGGAGAAAGAGTTAGGAAGGCAGAGTATTAGATAGGAGGGGTTTGGGGGGAGAAAGAGTTAGGAAGGAAAGAGTATTAGATAGGAGGGGTTTGGGGGAGAAGAGTTAGGGAAGGAAGAGTATTAGAAAGGAGGGGTTTGGGGGGAGAAGAGAGGGGGAAGGCAGAGTATTAGATAGGAGGGGTTTCGGGGGGAGAAGAGTTAGGAAGGCAGAGTATTAGACAGGAGGGGTTTTAGAAGAGTTAGGAAGGCAGAGTATTAGATAGGAGGGGTTCGGGGGGAGAAGAGGGATGGCAGAGTATTAGACAAAGAGGGGTTTGGGGGGAGAAGAGTTAGGAAGGCAGAGTATTAGAAAAGAGGGGTTTGGGGGGCGAAGAAGAGTTAGGAAGGCAGAGTATTAGATAGGAGGGGTTGGGGGGGGAAGAGTTAGGATGGCAGAGTATTAGACAGGAGGGGTTTGGGGGGAGAAGAGTTAGGAAGGGGACAGAGTATTAGATAGGAGGGGTTTGGGGGGAGAAGAGTTAGGAATGGCAGAGTATTAGATAGGAGGGGTTTGGGGGAGAAGAGTTAGGAAGGCAGAGTATTAGAAGGAGGGGTTTGGGGGGAGAAGAGTTAGGAAGGCAGAGTATTAGATAGGAGGGGTTTGGGGGGAGAAGAGTTAGGAAGGCAGAGTATTAGATAAGAGGGGTTTGGGGGGGAGAAGAGTTAGCAAGGAAGAGTATTAGATAGGAGGGGTTTGGGGGGAGAAGAGTTAGGAAGGCAGAGTATTAGATAAGAGGGGTTTGGGGGGAAAGAGTTAGGAAGGCAGAGTATTAGATAGGAGGGGTTCGGGGGGAAAGAGTTAGGATGGCAGAGTATTAGACAGGAGGGGTTTTAGGGGGGAGAAGAGTTAGGAAGGCAGAGTATTAGATAGGAGGGGTTTGGGGGAGAAGAGTTAGGAAGGCAGAGTATTAGACAGGAGGGGTTTGGGGGGAGAAGAGTTAGGAAGGCAGAGTATTAGATAAGAGGGGTTTGGGGGGAGAAGAGTTAGGAAGGCAGAGTATTAGATAGGAGGGGTTTGGGGGGAGAAGAGTTTAGGATGGCAGAGTATTAGACAGGAGGGGTTTGGGGGGGAGAAGAGTTAGGAAGGCAGAGTATTAGATAGGAGGGGTTTGGGGGGAGAAGAGTTAGGAAGGCAGAGTATTAGATAGGAGGGGTTTGGGGGGAGAAGAGTTAGGAAGGCCCAGAGTATTAGATAGAGGGGTTTGGGGGGAGAAGAGTTAGGATGGCAGAGTATTAGATAGGAGGGGTTTTGGGGGGAGAAGAGTTAGGAAGGCAGAGTATTAGATAAGAGGGGTTTGGGGGGAGAAGAGTTAGGAAGGCAGAGTATTAGATAGGAGGGGTTTGGGGGGAGAAGAGTTAGGAAGGCAGAGTATTAGATAAGAGGGGTTTGGGGGGAGAAGAGTTAGGAAGGCAGAGTATTAGGAAGGGGTTTTGGGGAGAATGGGAAAGTGACCTTGTTAGAAAGGAGGGGTTTCTGACGGAGAATGGGAAGACAGTACTAGAAAAGAGGGGGCTTGAGGGAAAATAATAAAAAATAATCCTTTCATCATCCAAAAAAAAAAACAAAAAAAAAACAAAAAAAAAAAAAAACACACCCCCCCAATGTCAGATATGATGACAAAGTTGATCTCCACTCAAAACTCCCCCCCCCCCCCCCCCCCCCCCCCCCCCCCCCCTACTATACAAAACAAAAACACACAGAGATGGGTTTTCACCTTTCACCATCCAAATACATATAAAACCGACCCCTGCAGTGTTTCTGCAATGTAGCAGAGAGGGGGCGCCCTGTATGCCGTGCACCAGGTGGTATGAATGTCTTTCCATTCGATTATGAATTCCCTTTCCTGTCAGAGGGCAGACGTTCAGATTTTTCTGCCTTGCAACCATGGAAATGATACTTTTGTAGCCAACATCTCCCAGAATTCTACCCCTCAGCATATGTAACTGGCTTACTGTCTCTCTCATTTGTATGTACACAGCTTGAGCTTTTACCTGCCAAAGATTCCTGAACTAATGTACATACTTTTCAGATTCACCGCCCCATGTTGTGCCAATACACAGAGGGTGACAACACTTTTGCAAGTTATGCAAATACAAAGTAACTGCCCCTCCCCCCTCTGCATGGATTATTAACATCGACCCTGAGCCTTCCTCTATACCTTCCCATCAATTTACAAGATGAGCTCTTCAACTGCAAGCCGGATTTCAATTTTCAGCTGATGTGTGCCAGCCTCACAGAAGAACAGGTTTCGGGTAAATAATGCCAGGATTAAAAATTAAGATGCAAGTGAAATGAAGAAGAACCTGTCAGTACTGATCTGCATTCCCCCTCTGATCCTACAGTAAAGCCTCTGGAATCACCTGGTACTTTGGGGTATGGGGGTAGCGGGGGTTTAGAGTCATGTGACTGCCATGATTCA